CACCTAAGAAACAAGACCGAAGTCGTTTCCACTAGTGTCCATGTTATGTATTAAGATTTCAGAGAAAATTAAGCAAGTTTTATTAAAGCATATCTTCAAATTTATTAACAACTTGTATTTAGGTTAACTCTTTAAACTACTTTAGTATCTGTATCTGTGGAAATCGTCCGCATTTGCGGCCCCAACCGTTGCCAAAGTCCCTAACGTCATAGACCAGGAGCGCATACTGGAGAAGAATAGGGAGAAAAACCCAATCCTCTCTTCTTCAGAGCCGGAAGAGGACCAATCTCTTGCATGGGATCTAGGTGGAGAAGCAGTTCGCTGCCAACTACCCTCCACTGACGGAGTTGGTCCTCTTTCCACAGCCCAGAAGAGCAAGTATCGGGGGATGAAACGCAAGCAGGTGAAACCCTCTTCTGAGGCTGACCGAACTCCTCCTGTCGCTGCATTCAGTAAGCGGAGCAGGTCTACGGATGTTACTCCAAAAACCAGTGGAACTTGATGGGAGTACCGACATCCAAATCTGCTTGCGAACGTTGCAAGAAAAAAAAAAACCTGTGGTGACAGACACCAATTGCTGTCCCAATGCCTCTTCGAGTCATAGTTTGGCACGGTACTGGTGGGGCATTGCCCAATTCCAATCATCCAGACAGACCTCTGGCGCCACGAAACGCTTGCCTCAAACCAAGGGAAGAAATGATGCAAGCGTCGGTCGAGGCAGAACTGCCCTCGCTATTCCTTCGAAGCAACTACTTCTCGATGTCTGGGTCCCGGGCAACTTATTGTGAGCCCGTAAAAGGCCCTCTGCTCATTGCCATAATGGGCAGGGCGGGTTAGACTCGGCAGATGACTACTGCGGAAATTAAACGCTGATCCGGGCCGTTATTGCCTCCGGCACTGTAGACAATGCTCGTTCATAAGAGAGGGATGGAAACATTGTGGTGAAGTGCCCCTCCCAAGCTAACTGGGATTGACTCAAAGCTGTGGAGCAAAGAATACCGGTCACAAGGGGAACAGACTTCACTATTTATAGTGCCAATTACGAATGAGAGAAAAAATTATGAATGCTACTTTTTTGGGTTAAGAAACGCTTTTCAGCAGAAACTAGTGATAATTTGTGATAATTATCTGTTAAGAAACAAAGCTATATACATGCTGGTAGATCTCTCTCCGCTCTCTTCGCCGGCAAATCTCCGATGACGTCATATTCACGTTACTCTCCCGAATTTCAATCAGCGCAATCTTGTATTCTATCGGTCTTGCGCATGGTTGCCACTCGCCAACATTTTTTTCTACCAAAATCTCTTAAGAAAAATTACCGAAAGCTACCAAATCTTGACTACCAAAATCTTCACTTCTTCACTGAAAAAAGAAAAAATATACTGAATAAAACTGCCAAATTTCATAACAAATGTGTATATACTTACAGCCTGTTTCTGTGACTTAATAAATTCAATGGCCCGTAGTCATAGTCAAAATAAAGTCGACTTTAAAGTTAGTTGCAGCTTTTTTGACAGATATCCCATTGAAAATTATGTCAAAAAGCTGCAACTAACTTTAAAGTCGACTTTATTTTGACTATGACTACGGGCCAATATTTTTATAATTTGTCAATTTTTGATTATTTATCAAGAACTCCCAGTTCTAGCAGTTTAAGTTTAAGTCTATTTTCTTGATAAATTATCAAGATTGAAAATACTATTGACAATTATAATAATTTTTTTTTTATTAGAAAATATTTTTCTTACAATTAATTGTTGCATGTGCCGTTATTCTCATTTTCGTTGTTGGTGTTTCCGACAGGGTAGGAGTATGATGTAATGTGGGGCGATTTTACAGTTTATTTTATAATCCTCTTCTGCCTGTTATTAGTGTTTAGTGTGGGACAATTTTTGCTCTTAAAATTAAGATAATTATGTCGAGCAAAAATAAAACTACACAAAAATGCGAATATGTGGTAGATTTCAGACCTTGTGCGGTAGATGTGGTAGATGCTCAAAAAAGTGGCAGATCTATCACAATGTGGTAGAAGACCGATCACTGGTCATATACTGTCAAAATTTTCAAGAGAGAGTTAGCGGTATCACAAGTTGCGTTCGGCAAGTCAAAAATTTGTAATAGTTTTCCAAATTTTGACTGGATGGCGTTCGATAACGACAAAAAATTATCCAACACACAAAAATTTAGAGAGCAAGCGTTCATTTTGATGCAAGAGAAGCGTTCATTTTGTACTGGCAAAATTTTAGTCAGCAAAAATGATCCATCACGAAAACATATGATCACAGAACATATGGTTGCAATTTTTGTAAACAAACAAAATTGCTTCTTTCGAGTTTTGGTGTTTATATGCTTTTTGGCTGCCTGCTATGTGACTTTATGATAGTGCCAACTAGTTTTTACTTCTAGAGATGTTACTGGCGAACATCGAACGTTCACTTTCCTCTTTTCTTACATGGAGGCAACATGAATTTTAGTTTGTTTACAAATAAAACATAAACAAAGTCAGCTGGTGTGTCTTCTTCTTCCGGTTTTTGCAAGTGATGGCTAATTTCCTGTTCGTTTACTTTTTTGCTTTTTCTTCTCTTTGGGAGAGAATTTTCGCTTACGCTCTTGATTTTGATTGTTGCATGGTGTTGGCTAATTTTGTTATCGAACGCAACTACAATCAGCGCCACCTTATGTATTCATTTCACAATGGATTGTACTGGAAAGAACCTAGAGAAGCTTGCGATTGTCAATCACCGATCAGCTGTTTATAAAATGTCAAAAACGTCAATAAGCTGATGGTAGCTGGGCCGTCACTTTGGTCAACCAAACAAAAAGGACGATTGCATTGCAGCTGCTGTATAAACGATATTTTGTTACAAATTTGTTTTCGATTTAAAATTCTTAAAATGCTTTCGAGCTGTGCAGCAAGGTCGATCAATTTAGTGGTAAGTTGTAATAAAGGGAACCATTGACCACAATATTTAACGTATGTTTGCCATGAAAGCGGTACGCACGGCTCGTTATGTAATTTAAAACGTAAAAATAATAATTTGTTCCTAATTGTTTCATGTATTTTGCACTTACGGTATAGCGTGGCAGTATGCGCACTATTGCCACGAGCGCAGTGCAACGCAGTGATCATCTCTTCGTGCACCGCGACACTCCGGAAGACAACCCAAGCATCAAATTCGAGTTTACGCCAGAGAATAAGAAGGTCAGTCAACTATCGTGTTTTGCTAGTTTTTAATTAACTCTCTTTATCTCCTATTTCATCCATAAAAGCGTGTTGAAGCTATTATCAGCATTTACCCAGAGGGTTACAAACGCGCCGCCATGATCCCACTGCTCGATTTAGCGCAACGCCAATATGGTTGGTTGCCCATCTCGGCCATGCAAAAGGTTGCCGAAATTCTAGAAGTATCACATATGCGAGTTTACGAAGTCGCTACTTTCTACACAATGTTTTTGCGTCAACCCACTGGCAAATACCATATACAAGTATGCACTACCACGCCATGCTGGCTACGTGGTTCTGATGAAATTATGGAATGTTGCAAGGTATTATTTTATTAATCCATAAAAAGGTATTTTTCGATAATTCATAAACCTCGTTTTATTGCAGAAAACTTTGGGTGTGGAACCAGGTGAAAAGACTAAAGATGGCCTGTTTACCATTTCTGAAGTAGAGTGCTTAGGTGCTTGTGTTAATGCACCAATGGTCGCCATTAATGACGATTATTATGTGAGTTACACTAAGCATTTACGTTAACTTTTATTGTTCTAAGAAATATACATAATATAATTCTTTGCACTGCAGGAAGACTTAACCGTCAAAGACATGCAACAAATATTAGCGGATTTCAAAGCGGGCAAACCATCACCACCTGGTCCACGTAGCGGTCGTTTCGCCAGCGAACCTGCTGGCGAGCCCACCTCGCTGAGTGAGGAACCAAAGGGACCTGGATTCGGTCTGCAGCCAGCCCTCCAATAATTTGACTAATTTATCCAATTTTTTGCTCTTTAATCTTGAATAAACCCCGATGAAATGAAGTTAGTTGCCTAAGTAAAACAGGAATTTTGGGAACAAAAAAATTTAGATATGCATTAGTAATGCCGTATTGGTATGCCCTAAGTTTCTTTTTAGCTGTTTTTTGTGAACAAAATAGTGGCTGTGTTTCTTGGGCAATGATCGGGATCCGGATAAGAAATTTGCACCCAAATGCAACAACGATATGGTTGCCGCACGGTTTGGTAGCCCAGACAAATGATTGTATGTATACACAAACAGATATTCTGCCATTTGTTTCTCGTAAGTTAACGAGTCTTACTTGGTTCAAATAAATTGCCTTTATGTTAAATATGTTCCACATTTAGTGAGTTCATTTTAATATTTTCGTCTTCCTCGTGCTAGTAGTATAAAATGCTGCCAACCCCAACAAGAATGATCCAGATCGTTTCCGTGAGAAGTGATCGTGATACTGAGCTGGATAACCCAAAGAAACACAAGTATAAGTAAAAAAATAAAAATAATAATGCGTTATAAGGGAAGGTTTGAAGCAGTCACCCCTATTGCGAGTGTCGACTAGTAGTAGATAAAAGACTATTCGATTATCGCTTTTCCTTGGTATTGTGAATGTGGATTTCCCCATCAATAAGCGACTTTGAACAGTTTTTAGTCGTTCATCCTTCTACAATCGTTTGTTTTAGAAAGATGAACGTCTAAATCCAATTCACACTCACTTATTGAATGAGAAAACGACATCGAAAATACATACTCAGCCCTATCACCAATTCCATGTGAATAAAACATTCCCATAACTTAACAGGAAAAACAAGAAATTGGGAAAAAATGTTTTTGTTCTGCTTTATAATTTTTGGGAATATTTGTTCATGTGAAATTTGTGATGTGGCCAACTATGGATACTCGATACTCGAATAATAGCCGTTTATCTACTACTAGTCGACACTCGCAATATGGGTGAGTACTTATGAGATCATAAGGGCGAACTAAAGGATGAGATCCAACAATACACGTAATAAACCTCTAGACCCGGCCCTCTGTTTACAGGCAATAAACGACATTCACAGAGACTGCCACCACCTTCACTATCTCCCGTTTTGTGAATGACATCATAGGAGTACACTCACCACCTGTAGACCGCGTAACTGTGGCTCAGCTGCGATCTGGATACTATATTAGGTTAAACTCTTATTTGTCTAAACTAGACTCCAACGTACGAGGTTACTTCCGGGATTTGGACGTACTTCTCACGACTGCAACCACCTCTTCAGTTGCTCCGCAATTCAACTCAACTAACATCCCACTACCTCTGGTTCCGTTAAAACGGCACGCTTCCTGAGCCTATCGTTAGTTGAGCTTGACGAAAACAATTGAAGGGCTATCAGATTAGGTGATAGCTAATTAGTTGCTGCAACAAAATAATTGGGGCAATTTGAATTAATGCAGTGTGTTTGCTTTCGGAAGTTGTGTTCAGACGATATTAAAAATGATAATTTTCTAAAAATTAAATAACGAAGTTATCAAAATAGATAATAAAAGTAAAATGAACGTTGGATTAATTTTGAAACTATCCGTTTTCAGAAATGAATCAAGCCAAAACATAAGACTATTTTATTTCTAAACTATGATGCCATTTCTGAACATAGCAGCCTATATTACTTGTCCGTAATTAATATTGGCTATCGCTGAATCCATCATAGTCCGATTTTCGTTTCAACGTGCATATGTATATGCATTTTCCTAGATTTCACGAAAAATCGAACTACAATCGATTCAGTGATAGCCCTGAATAAAAAAAAAAACGAAGTGCTAATCTATGCTTACCTACACATGTATACGACAGGGAAAGTAATATTTACTACTCTGAAATGATAAGCACTTGGAGCTATCACTCTGAATCTATCGTAGTGCGATAATTTAGCAAGAGTAATTCAATCATTAGGCACTTAGCAAGGGTCGCCGTCGACAAGCTCAATCGGTCTGCATAACCAAAACGACACGGATTGTAATCTGGTCAAGGGCTGGCACTCCAATAGTATTCCAAATAAAACCTTCTTAATGGATACTCCATTTCGCCAGTAACATATCTATCTTACATAAAAAAAGACGTAGTGCTTTTACTCATTTATATTTATTCTTAAAAACGAGCAGAATCATAGTTTTATATAATTCAAGATTACAATTTCTAGAATTGGGTAATCTTCTCTTGATAAAATAATTTTATTCAATTTTATATTGTTGATAAAACGCTTAATGCGATGTTTCCTTTATAATTAATTATGCATACATTAATAAACGTATTGCCTAGAACACCTACAGCATGCCACCAGAAAAGTTTAATTAACTTTTTTTTTATTTAATAATTCATTCTGAAGTTAGAATTTAGATAATTCTAACAAATTTAATGTAATTTTTGTTTTATTTTGTAGTTTTTGCTGCCGGTAAAACATAGTATCAATGAAATGCAGATCTTTTATGTACGTAAAGTTTGAAATGCACAATAGAAAGATCAAAACAATGCTGCAACATGCTAAGGTGTCGTTTCAGTAAAAAAGCGATGATTTAGGAAAACAAAAACACCATTAAGTCATCTTAAACTATGTCACCACTTTCAAATTACTCATCGCTATCGCCATAATAAACCCTGGAAAGTAACACTCTTACTCTTAAAGCAATTTTAAAGTAATTTCAGTAATTACCTCTTCTTCGAGACTGCGCGCTTTGATTTGCGTCCAATCGGATTATGATAATTTGTACGTGGTAGCGTTTGGTTCACGAGCCGTTTTGTCTTTTTCGGCTCCTCGCGAAGTTCTTTGAACGATACATTTTCTTGTGATTTCATTCGTTTCATAAACTTATCGATAATTTCGTCACATGACAAATTCGCTTCTGGTTCCCATGTGTCATGTTTAGGGCCAAATCCCTTCCAACGTATACGAAATATACGTTGATTCTTCTCCTCGGCGTAGTCTATTATCTTATCAACCTCCCACTCTTTATTTGGATCAGCTGCCAATTGTCCCTTTACTGGACGTCCTTTCTTAGCAGCCACGCCAGTCTTTTTGCTCGATTTACTTGGCGATTGCTAATGATACAATCATTGTTGGTGTGACATTTTTTTTTTACAATGTACTTACTTTATTTTTGTATCTTTCAATTATGTCCGGACACGACAACGTATCCTCAGGCTCCCAGGTGTCGTCATCTTTAGTATAGCCCTTCCAGCGTATTAAGTAGTAAGTAACACCATGTTCTACTTTGTGGCTTACTATGTCCTTAACCTTATAGCAAATAAATAAAATTGTTTGCAAGTGTTAAAAGAAAAATCAATGTATTCTGGAATATGGAAGACTTAAGAAAACAGAAATTTCAAACAGGTAAACCATCAATAAATTTAAAATCTCTTGCGATAAAACATTTCATACTTCTATGTTTGATTTCAAAGCGCATTTTTTCTATATTTCTACTTGAAATCACTCCAAGAGGTGTTTTCCGAAAAAGTAAAACTGTTATTAAACTTTATATAAATGTAAATTTACAATTTTGATAGGGAAATGTTTAGCATTTGTACAACGATTTAGGGGTGGGTGGTACCGCTTTATGAAGTCAGCTCCACACACAACCAAAAATCGTTGCACAAATTCATAAACAGTACCCTTTTGATAAACGAACTGTCAAACTTTGTATGGAAATCTACTTAACCAAACTTTATCACTACATCAAACGTTTTTGTATAAATTTCAGCAAAATTCAACCCTTACAGGTAGCCAGGTGGTCGCATTTGCTACGAACACATGAAACAATTTAGCACAATGGACGAACTAACTAGCCATATAAGTTAAATAATAAACAATATTATGGAAATTATTTACCAAGGGGCGTTCATTAAAGAATACGGATAAACTGATACATTTAAGCAATTTATCCCTTTATCTCTTTAGATGAAAACCCCTAATATTTGTTAAATTTTTATCGAAAAACGACTGATCGAAGCTGAATAGTAATCGAGTATCGATATTTTAATGTTTGTATGTATGCATATTATAAAACATAACCTCTACTCACCTCGTAGACTTCCTCACCCTCACCATCTCCCTCCTCCTCTTCTACCTTTGCTTGTGCCTTCTTCCCTTTGCCACGCCTACCAATGGCTTTATCATTTTTGCCAGCCGTTTTTTGTTTTCCGCCTCCTGCCGGCTTCCGCCCTTTCTTTGCACTTCCACCTCCGCCGCCGCCATTTAATGGTTCATCCTCGCTATCCACATTATCATCGGCGCCATCGGTTAGTTTTTCTGGCGCTGCTTTGCGCTTATTAGCCTTTTTGCCGACTGTACCGCTGCTACCATCCTCTTGGTCATCTTCGGTGGCGCTACCCTGTACAGAATGGAATTCATCATCGGTATTCCCTTCGGGATGAGTTCGATCTCTTACAACGCTTTGCTTTTTCTTTCCGTCATCACCCTCCTCGGCACCCCCTTCGACTTCAGATTCATCGCTGTTGGACTCCACCGTGGCGCTCTTTTTAGCTTCCTCATCTTGTTCATTCTCATTTTCAGCAGATTCCGCATATTCTGCGATTTTTTTCTTATGCACTCTACCCATTTTAATTTTCCCCGCTTGATAACTTTAAAATGTTTTTTCGCACAATTCTTACCCTTTTGATATTAAATGTTTGTTCAGCTTCGGATTTCTGTAGAAATTTGCTTCAACAAAGATAAAATAATTGTTGGAAGATTAAGATTTACCTGCAAAACGTACCTTTATTTTCGAAGACGCCGTGAAAAATTGTGCCAAAAAACAGAAGCGCTGAAAAAGGAGTACAGAAATTTATAAACGCGCAACGTTGACCGTTTCGAGTGGAACGAAACGGTGCGCAACGAAACGAAAAATGAATTAACAGAGTTGCATTAAGGAAGGATTCCGCTCATGCAGCTGTCAAAAAATAAAAACATCTTTTTATACACACGTGGATTCAGTTTTTATTAAAGATTTTGTTAAATAAAAAATAATTGGAACTTAAAATGATTAAAACTAAGAAGCGTCTGTCGGATAATAGGGGTGATGGTCCAATAAAAAAGAAGTCACAAAAATTGGAATTGGATAAAGGGAAAAATAAACCGCCGAAAACTGACGGCTCGTCGAAGGCAAATAAATTTGCCAAGACCTCTCAAAGAAATGCTACAGGAAAGATGGTGAAAGACAAATTTGCTCCAAAGTCATTGGGAAAACCTGGCGCAGGACAACCTCGGAGACTTGACAAGTTTGGTAAAAATGGTAAAAAGCCAGGTTTAAAGGGAGCAGCACCTGGTGAGAGCGAAAAAACGGACTGGCGCAAATTTAAACAAGAGAAAAAAGAATTAAAACTTAAACGAAAACAAGCCAAAGATTCATATGAAGTGTCTGTTGAGGCGAAGCAAATTTACGAAAAGCTTAAATGGTAATATCATATTCACATATGTATGCCTGGAAAAGTTTTAAATATTTTACATATGTACCTACTTATATTATAGTCGTCGTACTGAAAATAAATCAGAGTTGGTAGAAAAGCTGTACTATGTTTTGAACCGTGGCGATGTGATCAAAAAGTTGATAATGGCTCATGACACAGCTCGCATCATCCAATGCATGTTGAAGCATGCTTCGCCCTCGATTCGAGATCAACTTTCAGAGGTAAATTCAGATATAAGAACATTATGTAAAACTTTAAATAACAATAACTTAAAATATTTCGGTAGAAATTGTTACCACTCGCTGTGGAAATGTCTGTATCCAAGTATTCACACTTCTGTGTTCTCCGGATGTTCAAATACGGCTCGCCCACTATCAAGTCAAAACTGGTCGATAGTTTTATGGGAAATGTAGTACGTTTAGCTGGACATAATATATCGAGTAAAATTCTTGACCATGTCTATCATGCTGTAGCCAATCCAAAACAACGTGGTTATCTACGCCAAGAATTCTATGGAGAATTGTATCGAAGTTCCAAAGACGACAACGTGAAAACTCTTGCCGATACCTACAAAAATACTCTTAATATGAAAAGATCAATTTTAGGCGCGGTTAAATCTAACCTGGATCATTTGGCCAACAAGCAATTGGTAGATAATTCCCTAGTTCATGCAGTAATTTTAGAATATTTAGGAGAGTGTGAGGATGACAAAATAGAAGAAACAGTAAGTTCCTTTGCACCTCTTATACCGCTTATGCTGACTACGAAGGATGGCACCCAATCAGCGACAATCTGTTTTTATAAGTCAACACCCAAGAATCGGCGAGTAAGTACAAATGTTAAATTTAAAATCTTCAAATACAATTTACAAACTAAACTTTTACTGGTTCAGGCTATAATAAAAACAATTAAGGAACACCTGGTTAAAATTTGTACACATGAGCATGGGCATATATTTTTACTTGCATTAGTAAACTCGCTAGACGACACTAAGGCAACTAAAAAAGCCATATATGATACGCTGCATCCTGAATTGGAAACCCTGATGGCAAATCAATGGGGTCGTCGCGTCATTGAATGGCTGGTGGCGCCTGCAGATACCAACTGCTTTCATCCGAGTTTCATAGCTAATATAGAGGATGGTTTGCAATATGGCAAAAAGGACAAAGACATTCGACGCAAGGAAATATTCGAGCAAATTGAAGAATCCTTAGCTAATGCGATTGCTGATAATGCCAAATTTTGGCTGTCTAATCGACATATTGGTCTAGTCACAGCTGAGATATTAAAAAAATGTAACAAATTGACAATTTTTCAGTAGGTTTTTTTGAAGTACTAATACTTTTACCTCACAGTAAGTCAAGAACACTTTGAGAAAGCCACCTCTGCAATAGCCGATGTTATTGTCGACCCATCATGGGCCGTAACTGTAGAAGAAGAAGCAAAAATTAAAAACAAAAAGATTGTTCACGACGTGGAAAAAATAATATCGGATGCTACAAAAGCAAAGAAGCAAAAACGATTGGAGCCTAGTTTTGAGGAAAATGAACAGAATGATTCTACTGACGACGAAGTTGATAAAAAGAAAGAAGTAAAGTACACAATATTGGCCAAAGTACGAAATAGGAAAACCTCTTATTTTTCAGAAGGAAGCTGTCACAATTCCTGGCATCGAAGAGTCAGGCCTGCACATCGTATTGAAAAAGATTATCAAATATGATAAGGAGCGCCTAACACAAAACAGCGAAGCGCAAACTTTTGGTTCGATACTTGTACAAAAATTAAACGAAGAAACGGTAAGAAACATGCACAAATTAAATTTGGATATTATTTTTTTTTAATCCAATTATTATTGTTTTAGCTAAAAAATTGGGTAAATGTAAATCGCGCTTGTTTTATCCTGCTGAACACTTTCGAGCAAAATACTGAATCAACAAAGTCGATTCTTAAAGATCTACTGAAACCACTACATCAAGTCCTGAAAGAGGGGATGGGAGCAGGTCAAAAATTATTACTGAATAAAATGGAGTTTTAATATATTTTAGTATAGTGTGATTCATTTTAATTTTCTTCTTTCATGTGTGTACTTGACTTTTATGAATTATTTGTAGAGTCCATGCTATGGATGTAATAGGGAAGCAAATAACGTTTACGAATTAAGATAAAGAAGGAAGGTTAAGTCATTCATAAAGTTCAAATGCATTTTCATTTAAATAGTCCTAAATGGGGAAGAGATTTGAACAGATTAATTAAATTCCACGTTCATTCCGTTCGTAAAATTATGTGCAATCCGGAATCCGTGTCTACAATTTTCGACATTTGTCCAACCTTCAAACTAAATGCTGCATCTTCAAATGCTTTTTGCATTTGGCCTGAAAGCAGTTAAAATAACTTAAATACGGTTTTCCATTAGTTGATAATTTTTCTCACCTTTGCCAAATGGACCTAAATCGCCGCCACGTTTGGCAGAGCTGCAGTCTGAATATTTAGTTGCAAGGGCGGCAAGTGTGATCTCACCAGACTCAATTTGCTTGCGATAATCCTCCAAAGTCGCACGTGCTTCTTCCTTGGATCGCGTTATGTTCTCTTCCCGCCACGAGCTAGGCCGACGACTCCCTTTATGTTTGACAAGCAGATGGGAACAACGCACTTCACTGGGTCCTGATGATTCCTTTTTTGCTGGCTCTGTCGGCAAATCCCATTGAGACTCCTTTGTATAGATATTCAAATAATATGTCAATCCTGCGAAATAAATTTTTAAACACGTTGAATTCGTAGTTAATGAAATTAATATACATGTGTGCATACATACATATGTATCTATGTATACAAAAGCTTAAAACAAGCAGACGACACGGTTTCGCATCAATTCTACCGGCCAACATACACAAAATGAAAATTTTAGTACGTACCGGTTGAACGACTCTTGCGTACTTCCCACCCTTCTGGTATATTTTTCTCTGTATCGGACATTATGTGCTACAGTTTATCTTTTTATTAAATTAATAAGCTGAACTTTGCTATTTCTTTGAACCAGGCAAATCCTACCACAAAACAGCAACTCAAAATTATGTATTGCAATGGGCAAAGTAAAGTGGAATGGAACGACAAAGAGGGCTAAAAACATGAATTAAGTTCTTTCACAGGGTGTCTAAAGTAAATATATTTAATGCCAGCTCAATCAGGCGCGGTACGGTACATGACCCAGTGAAGTAGTAACAAAGAACGTAAATCTATAAGAAGAGACAACTCGCTGAAGTGTGGCGAGTGAGTCTGGAAGGTTTGCAAGAGGAATTCGCGTCCGTTTTGACATCAGGTTTCGTAAATGAATTCGCTGCACTTTTGTTTTCACGGCGAAAAGAACGTTGAAGAAAAAGTGAGCTGTGAGAAAAGTGGAGCAATGAAATGATAGAAATAATTTGGTTTTTGCTTATGCATGCCGTCGGCATTTTGCATTTGAAGTAATTTTGACCTGATTGTTAAAACAAACCTGATAGATGCGATCAGTAAAATTTATGTACTACTACTTGAGCTGAGGAAAAATATGGGCACAATTGAATCAAACAAGATTTTTACCAAAAACAGCCCGCGACAAAATTGAGCACATATATATATTTATCAGTTTTGACTACTTTTCTTTTGCTTTTTTTAAGGTTCATTAATTTTTTATTAAAGTTCAGCTCCTTTTATACAAAAATTTGAAAAATTCCAAAAACTTTTAATCGCAATTATTAGTATTTGAATATTAATGTCTAGAATAGTTTTTGGTAGGCAGTTTGTAGCTTATTAAAATTTTTGTATAATAAAGTGACAGTTTGAAGTTGCTAAAAAGTCGTATTGATTTTTGATAATTTTTCTCTCTTTTCCTTATAAAAAATTACTTTGTATAAATTTAAAATAATATACATACATACATACATATATAAAAATAATTAACATTAAATAAAAAAAGATAAATAGTTAAAACTGTTCGTTTAGTCGCGGTATTAAAAAAACAAAAAATTAAAATTTTAATGCATCATGCAATTAATCATGATTTTAATACAAGCGTCTGCAAAGCATCTGATATAAAAAACTGAAAAATTTTGTATCTATGTATATATGTATGTATATAAATAAATTATGTTTATACATATCTACATACATATGTATTTTTGGGGCATAAAAATGTAAAAAGTACATAAATATACAAATATACGCCTCGCTTATGTATTTACCTTCCCTACTTACAGAGATATGTACGTACATCCATATATAAAAATGTAAATATATGTATTTCCATATAAATACATATAGATTAATCTACATACATACATATGTACCTATTACCATACATACATATGTATGTATATGCATGTAAACTACCAACACAAATATACATTTACACTACGCTATTTACCGTTCACCGAAAATTTGCTTCTTTCATTCATAATTCCAAGTGCGTTCAACACAACAAAAAAAAATTCTTTCATAAATGCGTATACACTCCGCACGCCTTCCCCTTGCGAAACGATCTTCACGATGCTGCTGAAAATCAAAAAATTTTAAAAGAGCAATTTCAGACACCAAAATGAAATTATCAACGAAAAAATGAAAGAATTCCGCTGGCCGGATTCGAACCCGAGCCATTTCGGCATAACAACGCGATGTGCTACGCGCATACTACATGCGCCACAGAACACTCTGATTGTTTTGCAACTTAATAGACACTTTAACAGCTCATTCAGCCACATAAATTTCTGATTTTTTATTTTTCATTTACATATCTACGTTTATCTATGTATGTGAATAATTGTTATTTTGCATCTATGCAAAAACTAAACTTGCATCAGAAACCTATCAAAACGTTTATCCAAATGAAAAATGAGCAAGTTAAATAAAAGCTTGTAATTATGTTGTTTTTAGTTATTATACATATATGTACGTATACATATTTATTTTCAATAAAATTTTATATGTACATATTTACATATGCAATGCATTTAGCGAGTTCATAAGCTAAAAAAAGTAAAGAAAAAAACCTGAAACGAAATGAAAATAAAAAAATAGTAAAATTAATAACAAAGTAAATCATTTATAATTTTTGTATAATTTTAGTATCATTTTTGGGTTTCACCAGTTTTCTAAAACACGATTCAATCCATCTTATTGAAATGGTCAACGCTTTTAAAAAACTTGGCTCGTGCGCATATATGTACTAACTTCTAACTACTTACTACAAACGCATGCTTTTATTATGAATTAATAGCCTTTATACCTTACGATCTGCTTATAATTTTTTTAGTTTCGCCTGTTTCCTTGTCTTTTTGAAGGCTTCCTCTTCTCTCCTTGACATCCATTTCGCGTTTTTAAACAGCAGCACTGTGACCATGTATCCAAGCAGACTTAAACGGTGGTCAGCGCACTCGTAGTCTACGGCGAACCACTCCGGGAATATATCGTCCGTTTTCTCCTTTATATATCGCATTAGTTCCTTTTTCACTTCGAGTTTACAAGCGCTGATACTGAAGGACTCCTGATACCATTTTAAATGCATCCTACAGAGTTCAAAAAATTCGTCCTTGGGATTCGCAAGCCTTATATCTTCGGTGCCCGTATAGTTTTTTGCCCGGATCAATGCCTCGGAGCTAACTTCCATTATGCTTTGTTTCTTTTGCATGAAATTGGCGCATTTATCACAATGTATTTTCCTTAAGATCTTTTTATATATGGCGAATCCGGCATAGTAGCGTTGAACCTGAAGCTCCGCAGGTTTTTCAGGAATTTCGTCGATAAATAGCTCTTCTGGAATGTCTTGAAGATCTTCTTCCATGGCTAATTGATCGTCTGGATTGCCTATTAACGGATCTTCACCCACGGCTAGTTGCTCATCTGGGTAGTCGACTGATAGGTCCTCATCCCAACCGGTTTCTTCTGCGTTAGAATGATCGTCAATCCAGTCCAAAAAACGTCATCATCATCCTCGCAGTTACTACCCTTTTCCTGAAAACGGTGTCTCAAAATCTTCATTGACATTAATCTTGCTACTATGTATTGGATATCGTGTGCTGTAGGATGCATATTTAGTCCTTGGCTGGCTCTGATTTTATAGAAGAAGTTCTCCAACGCGTCCTGATTCAACTTTCCGCAAAGCACGAAGTCCAAGCTGGGGTATCGGTCGAGTATATCCTCGCACAAGCTTATCACTGACTTTATTGTCAGAATGAATCCTTTTATACATGCCAAGTTCTTTTTCCTTACATCAATGTTCTGTAGGTATTGTATGTGCTCAAGTAGCCGACCCGTTTTTGCTTCAGAATTTCGGCGCATCGGCCATTTTAGTGGGTTTTTGTGTCCGATGTACTTGACGTCAAGCTCATCAAACAAATCATTCATCCGTTTTACGAAGATTTGAGTCGGCTTGACGGACTTGAGCAGTTCTCTGTATTCTCCAAGTAGGCCGAGGTCATTGGCCATCTCGATCCCGGCGGCTACCGAGTTGCTCAAGAGTTGTGTCGCTCGTGATACGCTCATCTTCTCGAACGAAATCGGGTATACGTGGGCATCCGTTAGTTTTGGACATATCTTGAAGTTGTCGTTGGCCTTATCAATCGCATATAGTTTTTTCACGACTAAATTTCTTACAATCCCATCTTCAGTAATAACTTCGTGATTATTCAAAAACGTGTTCCGCATTGATTTCATCAAGTGGCAGTAGTCGTACATAAAATGTATCTTTTCGCCCTTGAATAAAAATTGTCCATTTTCCTCCGATACGCCAAGAATCCTAAATGCAGATTGATTCGGACCTGCTTGATCGCAAACTGCCGCTTTTATTTTCAGCCCAATACTTTGTGCAACCTCAATATTTGTCCGTATCAGTTGCGCAAGGTCCTTAGCACATACAGCGTGATGTGATACGTAGTATGATAAAATGTATTTCCATTTACTGCAAATACCTTTTATCATGAAAAATAGACATTTATTTCCTATCACCATCTCCCGCTGTCCTTGGCCGTTATCTACAAATCCATCGATGACATCTGTAAATTGATTGTAGGTCAAATCCTTCCTTATGGAAATTTCATCCCAAGTAATCTGACATATGCGATGGTTTTCTGGCATGGAGGTTACCATATTCTTCAAATTAGCTATAACGCTCTCATCAATGCCAGGGCGGACATAACGTATTGGGCGCCAACGCAGCAGCGACCTTTTGTGTGGGAGGCGGAAACTTAAATCGTCTCGCATAAATCCGTAAGCCTTGCTGGACATATATTTAATGTTTTGGGCCAACGATCTTTCCTCTTCTGTATATTTTGTGTTCCTAACGTTGACGATCATTTTTGCGAATACGATTGCATCATCGCTTGCTCCTGCTTGCGGTATTATTGATACTTTTTCCAAAAAAGTATTTCTCTCCTGCAACGTTCGAATTTGCTTTTTTAACTCTTTGATCTCTTTGTCCTTTTTTGCTGCATTTCTCTGATAGGCTCGAGCTGCTTCAGCGAATCGTTCGTGGTCACAGACTAATTCGGTTTCATCCAAACCCTCGTCGCTATGAGGTACATCCAAGCGCTGTTTTTTTTCCATCATATCAGAATATAATTCAAATTCTTCATATGTTAGATCATCGTCTTCCATATTTTCAGCGGCTGATAAGTAGGTGCGATTTACTGGTTGAACTCTCCATGCGCTTGAAGCTTCACTAGCATTTTCCATATCAGTATCCTCATCTTGCAAATTGTATTTCGGAATAGCGCCATCCAACAGCCGTTTCTTCGAAACGAATTTCCGATCAAAATGTCGTTCGCATATAAAATGCTTCTTTTTAGCCACTTCCGGAAGTGACAGCTTACATGCAATAGCCCATGTGTTTCGGGCAACTTCGGTTTTCGGAAACTCGTACAGGATTCCTGTAGGTCCCCGGCAGGCAGATACGCAACATCTTCGCTGGACATCGTGAACAAAGTTGTGAGGTGGCTCTCCATCATATCCTTTATGTGAAAAATTTAATTAGTACATACATACATACATATGCACATTTGACTGCATCATCAAAAAAGGTTGCGGTTTTTCCGCGGGATTACAAAATTTATTATATTTGAAGACGTCCACCA